CCAAATATTATTTCAAATAGAAACAGATGCTACAACATGTACATTCTGTCAAAACAAATGCTGCTCATGCTATAATTCATTGTAGTGGTGGGATATATTGGTTTTTAGATGCCAAAAGTCCTTTGATGTGATGCAATTTAGAAAACTATATATAATGTCGAAATAAATTCAGAACACTGAAAAAAGAGAGAGGATTTTTTTAAAAAGAAATATTTAAAATTGAGGGAAATTCGAATCAGCTTTTCCAGGTAAAAGTTATTTCTCAGAGAAAGTATTTTATAGCTGCGAAGTGTTACTGAAGCAATAGCAACAAAATGGATCCTGCATGGGATTTAACATGGATTTTAAAACAGTGAGCACAATTTCTGCCAACATTGATTACACAAAAATGTACATTGCTAGATTTCACAAGTTCAAAAATAAATGTATTTGAGCATGCAAAGTGTTAAATATGTGATGGAGGCCATGATTTGTGTGCACAATTGTAGTTTGTAAACATAAAAAAATGTGCTGAAATCTGGGCAATAAAAATATAAGTGGACTTGAAAGTGGAGAGAACAGAGACTGATGTAGTTGTTAGAATGATTTGAGTGCAGCTGATTCTGGATTCCCTAGAAGTTGGAAGCTGGAAATTTGGAAAGCCGTAATTTTGATAGGGTCTGAGTTTTGAACATTGGATTCAGGAAGTGTTCTGCTTTTGGAAAAGAGATATATTGGAAGGAAAAAAATTGTACATTGATTTCTTTCCTTGGGACCATGACTAATATTAGACATAAGGCAAACAAATATTTTTCTGCAGAGGAAGATGTTTTAGATTTTGAGCATTGTTGTCTAAATATACAAAACTCTGGAATTCACAGTTCAGGCATCCTAAATATGTTTCATTTATATTTTTATTAATTAATTCATATTCATTTTATCTAATAGTCTTCTTTGTACGGCTTTAAAAACAGCACTGTTAGATTTTCAGGTCTAAGTTAGCAATCCAATTAATAGCTCCAGATGACCCAGAGTGGATTACAGAGGTATTACTGGAATATGTTCATTTGGAACATTGACTGATGAGATGTTCCATAGTTTGAAGTCCATTTCTGCAGCCACAAATATGATTGTGTCTCATTCCCCATTTATGGACAAAGTAGGTGCATCTGTCATGTGATGTGGCTAATGGATGTCAAAGTGAACTATATTTTCTGGGGGAGTGAAAAGCCACTGGATTTTTCAGATGGTACCTTACAGAGATTTTTCTTTGGGATGTTGGCATCCTTCCACCTGGCCCACCATTTGATTTGTTGATCAAAGTTGCAGAATTAACAGCAATAGATATAATTTTTGGTTAGTGTCCACAACAAACTAAACATTTTCTAACATGAAAAGAAAAGACAACCTGTGCCCCAAGGAGTTTACAACCTAAAACCAAAGAATAGCTGAAAGGGGCAGGCTTTATTAGGAAAGTGTTCAAGATGGTACTTAGTCACATCTTGTTCATATAAGGTAACATTTGTCATGTGAATAAGGAAAAGTTATTTATTTGTTCTTATAACATAAGAACCAGGGGTCACCAAATGAAATTAGTAGGTAGCAGGTTTAAAACAAACAAAAGGAAGAATGTCTTCACATAATACACAGTCCTTGAAACTCCTTGCCAGAGGATGTTGTGAAGGCCAGGATTTTAACAGGATTCATGGGGGATATGTCCCGAAGGCCAGGATTTTAACAGGATTCATGGGAGATATGTCCCTCAATGACTGTTAGCAAGGATGGGTAGGAATGATGTCCCTAGCCTCCATTTGTTAGAAGCTGGGAATTGGTGACAGGGATGGGATCACTTGATGATTACCTGTTCTGTTCAGTCCCTCTGGGGGCACTAACATTGGCCACTGTCAGAAGACAGGATATTGGGCTAGATGGACCTTTGGTTTGACCAGTATGATCATTCTTATGTTCTTCTCTATTTGTAGTTCTTGCATCCACCTCTCCAAAATATGAATATATTAGACTCATTATTCATTAATTGGCATTTTGTGGCTAAGTATCTGTGAGAATTTAGGCTCAAATGAATAGAAGTGGTCTGATTTTCAAATAGTATTGATCAGCTCCTGATTTTAATGGGATTTTAGGGTGCTCAATGTTTTTGATAAGCAGATCACTTTTAAGTAAAGACCCAAATGGATTTGGGAGCAAGATTTTAGGCATCCAGATCTCAACATTTTAATTATGCTCCTCTGAGCATAACAGAACCTAAAGTATATAAAGGCATCCAATTTGAATGCAAAAATCCTTGTTCTTTACTTCGAATTTATTCATTCCATCAAGAATCTGTTAATAATACTATATCGATACACTGTGTGCTACTCCTGTGTTGTCCGCTTCCAAATTTAAAATTGGGAAGGATTGCCCTCTAGAGGTCACGTTACAAAGATCTTGACAATAATAGAAACTGACTCATGGCTGGAATTGTGAAGCAGACTGATGTTTTATTTAAAACATCAGTTCCAATGAGCTTTTCTTCAGTTGAATTACTTTGCTAAATAGGAAGAGAGCAGCCATTGAACAAAATATATAATAAAATAACATCAGAAAATAGTAAGTCTTATGCTTTTAAAAGACAAGTGACAAAGGGAAAAGCACACAAGCACTGCCAGATGCTGCTGGTCCACCGTCTACCTCACTAATATGGTTCCATTCTTCATAACTGAGTGCAACTTTACAACTCTCTTTTATGGGTTACTGTTATAAAAGCTCTTCTCCTTTTGCTGGCTATTTACTTTGAATGTACACACCTTCGGCATCCAACACAAATAAAATATAATGGTAAAAGTGAATTTCACTGGTGCTTCAGAAAAGTTGAATTTGCCTTCGACTGGTTGAATTTAACTTCTTTCTTCTAACACATTTCTAATTTGTTACCCATAACACCTAATTTGGTCCATAACATGGAATGTAGGACTAATAATAGTGGAGAGATAGTTATTGATAATGCACAGCTCTGATCGCACCTCAGTCATTGTAGGTCCCTAATATTTGCATGAAAATGTTACTGATTTCCATTTTACAGCAATTTCATAGCATAAACCAGGGGTGGCCAACCCATTCTCAGCAAAGAGCCAAGATATCAGTGGATCCAGTGGGAAGAGCCGGGGCAAAGTTGTCAAGAAAAAAACCCTGCCCCTTTAAGAAAATGCATTTAAATGCTTTTAAAGACTTTTTGGTTACATCAGGCTCCCTCCAGCTGCCACCATCTTTAATTCTGCATCTTTAATGGTCGCGCTGGACGGCTCCCCTGCCCAGGTCATCACAGGGAGCCGGGAGGAGAGAGCCATTTTTGGGAGTGTGGGGGGCCATGGCTGTCATAAACTGACTACCAAACTTTTGCTTCAAAAACTCAACCATGATATAAGGGCCATTTTTAAGGTCTCCGGTGAGAGATGCTGTTCACCTTTATAATGTCTGTGATTAAAAGAATGGGAGTATTTGTTAGGTCAGTCATGATACACTGAGGGTGCATCTGCACAGCACCCTAAACTTTGCAAGCACTATGCAATGGCTGTCATAAACTGACTACCAAACTTTTGCTTCAAAAACTCAACCATGATATAAGGGCCATTTTTAAGGTCTCCGGTGAGAGATGCTGTTCACCTTTATAATGTCTGTGATTAAAAGAATGGGAGTATTTGTTAGGTCAGTCATGATACACTGAGGGTGCATCTGCACAGCACCCTAAACTTTGCAAGCACTATGCAAATTGTGTATCTTATTTTGAAACTATTTTGAAATAGCTTATTTTGAAATTTGGTATGTCTACACAGCACCAAATTTCAAAATAATGTGCTATTTTGAGCCATCTCTTATCCCAGGTTTACCAAAATAGCGCACCCATTATTTTGAAAAAAATATTTTGAAATAATGGGCGGCTTGTGTAGACATGGGGTAACTATATCCTGAAATAGCTGTACAGTGTGGATGTACCTCTGGCCTAGTTTGATCATTCCTAGATGCTTAGCACCAATATTACAATCCCTTTTTATAATGTTACACAACTGAAATGTACCTGTTACTTTGTGCTCTGGGGGCTCTTATGGAAGGTTATTTGGAAGGAAGCTGACTCTCAGCTAGCAGCTCCAGACTAGAGATCCATGGTGCAGTGAACAAAAGATAAGGCGGCTACAGTGTGAAGTAGAGGCTTGAAAGGCCAAGCATGAAAGTGAGGGGAAAATTGCTTGGGCACACAAAACCCGGAGGGCCTCCCCATCCCTTGTCAGTGGAGCTCAGTATTCGTGTTCTGGCTGTTACACTGATTAACAACCTTCTATTACAAGCCGATGTTTACAGAATTAGGGGCTCCAAGAACATGTGTACAGCGTGTCTAAATGCCACGGGAACCGTCAGCATGTGGCTGCAGCAACACGTCCGATGCGGAAGCTTAGCTATTTTCCTAACGAAATCTGAGCATCCCTGGAATGAAAACCCTCCTGTGACTGTTTTTGAAACAATACTTGGCCTATTTGTGACTCATTACACAGCAGTGCAGCTCTGTGATTTTTCTTAGCTATGAGAATCAAATCCTGTATGGGTCAGTGTAGGATTTCAGTGACGGTGTTTGCCAGAATTTGCGATCAGATACCTTTGCTCAGGAAAACAAACACATGTTTGGGAAAACTCCATCTTAATGGGGCCCTTGGTCTGCACTGTACTGGCTTACTTGTCATCCCTGCAAGGGCTGGGACGTTTCCTTTTATGCGCAGTTAATTGCTGTACAAGCCGATCGGTAGCCCAGGAAAAACAAAGCCCTTTTTGGAGCGCAAGGCGCAGGGAAGCAGACGCTTGCTGCCTGGCACACTTCTGTGCTCGCCTCTGAAGTGCTGATTTTCTATGAATCCGGCTGGCGCGCCCAACGGGGACTAGGATGCAGCGTGTCCGCTCCGCTTGAGGTAGCCTCGGCCAAACGCAGCCAGCGAAGCGAATGAACTCGGGCTAGGGGGAGACTGAGACGCGCGCCCGTGAGCTCGGCTCTGCTCTCCAGCTGCCGCAGTCCGGGCTGGGAGATTCGGGGCTCGCCGGCAGAATCTGCCCCGAGCCCTGGGTAGCCGGGCTGGATGACCAGCGCTCGCTCCGGAGCGGCGAGCAGTTCAGCACCTCGCCCCTTGGACAGCGACCTCAGCTCCCCAGCGCCGCCCCGCGCCGCGCCAGGCTAACTGCGCCTCCCCCAGCCCGTCTGCTGAGGGGCAGCGAGCCCCGCATGGCAGGGATGGGGGCTGCGCTGTGGCAAAGGAGGGAGAGGGGCGCTGCGACTCCGGCCTGAGCCGGCTCCGGCGGGGAGAGGCTCGGCGCCCTGCGGCGCAGGATGGGGACGTGGCGGTGCCTGGCTCACCCGGCGCTGGGCTGCTGAGGCTGTGCTAGGAGGCGGCTGCCCGCCAGCGCGCCACGACTTGGCGCCTCTCTCCGGGCGCCCGTGTGTGCGTGTGAAGACCCTCAGCCACCATGGAGACGGGGCAGCCCTCTCCGGCGTGGGGCGCAGAGCCAGCGGGGGCTTCGCCGCTGTGACCGCGGCCCGGCTCTGCTGTGACCGGCGGTGCTGCGGCCTCGGTGCCAGGATGGTGAGTGGCGCTTGGGTCCCTGTCGCCCGGCTCCGGGGGCGGGGGAGGTGCCCTGCCTGCCGCCTGCCTGCCCTGGGGGACAGACGGGGAGCGGGGGGGGAGGGGGTGGAAGGGCAAGTGCCGTTTAGCCCCCCGCCCCTTGCGGGTCCTGTAAAAGGAGCCGGCGACTGAAGGGTCCGAGGCAGGGCTGGTGCCCCCGGCAGGGCTGCTGCGCGGGAACAGTCCTAGGGGTGGCTGGCGCTCTCCCAGCCCCCCTGACGGCCAGGCCTAGCCGAGATCAGACCACCGTGGGCAGCAGCCCGGAGCGACATTCCGGGGTTAACCAGCGCCCTTGACTAGGAGCCGGGCAGACGCGGGGGCTGCGACGTGGCGCTCAAGAGCTGGGAGGGGGAGGCAGCCTGTGCTAGGACTTGTGTCCCAGGCCAGTGCTGCCCGCCTCTCATTCCCACGCCTGGGATGGGGCGATCGGCCTCGGCTGGGAGGGGGGAGCAGCTTTCCCGGGAAATGGGCTGGCCCCTCGATGAATGTTAGAAACTTATTCACTGGGCAAGGCACACACGTCTGCCTGGACGCCCTGTGGGCTGTGTAGTAGCCACTGATGTGCTGGGTAACTGTTATGGGGAAACTGTGTCAATGGAACATGCTGTGGCTTGAAAGGTGCTCCAGAGGCTGAATTTGTGTGACCCTTATATCGTTTTTAAGCACGTGTTTCCACGGCAAGCCAGCTGCGGCTCAGTCTAGTGAATACCAGGTATTTGAGCAAATCTAGAAATGATGTTTCCTTTGAACCACACAGTGGCAATGAAGTACCCTACAGCTCTGTCAAGTACACAGATAGGGCCTGCAGCCTGGAAACAAGCAAAATAACATTGGTGTCCCTACCCGGTTTGCCTGCTCTATAAAGATAAGACTGAAGGCAGGCAGGATCAGGCTGCCATTGCCATGCAAATGTAATTTAATTTAAAAACCAGAGCAGAAATACTTACTGAGGACTTTCTCAGTGAATTCAGACACTAAAATAATCATTCCAAATTGCAAATAGTGGCAGTAGGGTTGGAGGGCGGCTGACTAGGAGCCAGGAGACTTGGATTCCAGACCCCATCCACACACCAACTCACTATGGGCTTAAACAAAACCCCATTCCTCTCTGAGATGGATTCAGCATTGATGGCAGTGGTCTTTAGTAGGTCCCCAGTTTGCAAACGCTGTCCCTAGCTTCAGGTAATTATTTCTATTATACTATTTATCTATATAACTTCATGTTTACTCATCTTTTCAAATCACAGTCACCTCCATTTTATGTGTACCTAGATAATCCCTTACACTGTAGTTGAAGCACTGTGGGGCTAATCTTGCTTTCTATCACACTGATGTAGTAACTCCTTTCATGGGAATGATTCTGGATTGACCTCAGTGTTAATCAGAGCAGATTTTTGTCTGATGCCTATTTATAAAACAGGATTAATTATTTTTACTCTTAAAAATCTTTAAAATGTGCAGATAAATACAAACATTGTAAAGGATTAATATCTTTGGATGAAAGGCACTAAATGAGTGCAAAGTGTTACCTGCTATTTTGTATTATAACAGTGGAATTTAAAATATTATGGACTTGCATGGTTCAAGGCCATTTTTGTCTATAATTTTTTTATATTCTTATATTTATTTTTGCAGTATGGATTTATAAACACATGCCTGAAGTCTTTGGTGATTGAAAAATATGGTGAAGAAATATGGGAAAAAATAAGGTAACTCATATCTAAGGAATGTAATAAATTAAGAGAAAATATAGGAACATAGTATCACAGACCAGCAATCTCTCGCTGCTGAATGAAGGCTGAAGTATTCGTTATTTAGTAGGCAATTATTAAACATATCTATTAAGTCAATGTCAAGGCTTTTACACCGCAACATTTTATCCTAGGACATTAATTACTTCATTTATTAGACCAAAAAATGAAGGATGACATTTTGTCTGAAGGACATGTGTGCAATAGACACAGTAGTGCATTGTTTCATTATTGAAAACTCATTATGCTGAATAGAAGCCACCCTTATTTTGAAGTCAATTTCATCTTGGAGCCGCAGGGAAAAGTTATTAAATGTAATAGGAAACATTGATTTTACTCTTTTTTGGTTGCTTTTTTAAATTTAAAAAAGCTTTATAGAATTGCACATAATACAAAGAAACAAAAACATAAATCAAACATAGATAAAACATGACACAAGTACTGATCCAAAGTAGGGATGTAAATGGTTAACCAGTAAGCCTCACCCTTAACCAACAGGGGCTGGAGAAGCTTCCTATATGCCCTGGCCAGGGGGCTGCTCCAGCCCTTTGGGGCCAGGTGGAGCTGCAGAAGAGCTACTGGCCCTGGTCCTGGGGAGACTTCACGGCAGGCTCTGCAGTATAAACTTATTTAAGCTTTATACTGCTGAGCCCACAGAACATGTAATCGTGTAACCACTATGATTTTAGCAGTTACACGGTTACATTTTCAAAATGAATTTTTTACATCCCTAATTCATAGCCCATTGAAATCAATGGAAAGATTCACACCGACTTAAATAGACTTTGGTTTAGGCCTACCAGGAACCAAATTTAACAGCATGTGTCACAATGTATAGTACGCCAATAGAAGAGAAGCAAAATCAATACTATCTTCTGTACACTGCCTAGTTCAATGGGGCACTAATACTAAACTCGGGTTCATAAGTGCTACCATAATACTAAATAATAGGATCAGCCTTCTTTCACATAGATTTTCATTCAGCCCATTGTTTAGACAAGTACTTAAATCTCACCAATTTCCGTGTGACGCAAAGTTGCAGGTTTGAGCCCTAAGTTGAGATTTTCTCCTCAACAGGTACTCATCTATCCAGTTAATATTAATGAAGGGAAGGGTTTTTCTCAGGTACCTCTCTCAGTAAAGGGTGCCAATTGGAGAATTGACCAACTAAGGAATATTAAAGTCTTAAATGTGTTCTGTTTAGAATGATGTTGCAACATGAATCTCATTTTTGTTACAGACTCCAGGCAGGAGTTCAGGACACATTTTTTACTTTTGAAGTTTACAAAGATGAGATCACAATGCAGCTAATTGACAAAGCCTGCAAAATGTTAGGTATGTTTTGCTTTGCACTGACAAGACTTGGGCCCATACTTCCGAGGATCTCATGCTTCTTATAAGTCAAAGGAAGTTTTCCAAATCAGTTCAGAAGGAGTGTAATTGGGCTTTCTATAAATCAGGAACTATGCTGATCTTGGGTTATACTTGCTTGGATTGGTACAACCAGGGGAGCAGGGTCAGAGTTGGGAAGGCCATCCAGAAGATAGCTGAAGCTGCATCAACTTTATGATTAAAAAAGCTTGGAGAAGGTCACTGTTTGGAGCTCCTAAAATTGATAATGTTAGTTAGGACTAATTGATTAGACACTCTCTACTAGCATGCATGGGGTTTTGTTAGGGCTCTGAATTCAATTTAAGACTACCTTCCTCATCTAGCTTTTGGAGGGAAGGCAAAGGTAACAACACTGCCTGTTCCCCTTAGCCTCTGAGGATAGGACAAGAAATAATGAGCTTAAACTGCACCAAGGGAGGTGTAGGTTGGACATTAGGAAAAACTTCCTAACTGTCATGGTGTTAAACACTGGAATAAGTTGCCTAGGGAGGTTGTGGAATCTCCATCTCTGGAGATATTTAAGAGCAGGTTAGAGAGACATCTATCAGGGATGGTCTAGAATCTAGATGGTACTGGGTCCTGCCGATGGGGGCAGGGGACTGGACTCGATGCCCTCTCGAGTTCCCTTCTACTTCTAGTGTTCTATGATTCTTTTCCTCCCATGAGGATCACAGCATCCCCAGGGCTCCAGGAGGTATAGTTTGTGTCTCCAGGCACTAGCAGGGGAGAATCGAGTCAGAGAGCAGCATTAGGAATGAATGTTGAAAATATTGGAATGTCAGTCATCTGCTGGTGATGTCTAAAATACAGAACAAAAAGCTAGTGGGACAGCTAGAGAAAATGCACTTCTTCCCATTTATAGTATTCATACAGTATTTTTTTTGCAAATGTTTTTTAAAAAATAACATAGAATAAAAATGCTTAATACATAACCATAGCTTTTACTGCCAGTCGGAGATCACCACATTTCAAATGACTGATCAGGTTAGAGTTGTGGGTTCTATATGAGGCTTCTATGCCACCACTTTCCCGTTCCATATGGGGTCACTGATGACAGAAAGGGAGCAAGGTGGGATGCCCTTATACTCCCCTCATCTCCCATCTGTGATTTCAGTTCCTTGGGACTAACAGCATGACTGAATTCAAGCTTCCCTCAGGATGCTCTCAGTTAAGCCCAGGAATGAGGCCTGCAAACAGGATCCAAGGGTAGGGAGAGTACAAAGGAGAGTTCTGTGCCACCCTTGTACATTCACCTACCCTGACCTCTGCTGTGTGTAGAATGTGGGCTACAGTCTAGGTTCTAAAAATTCCCTCCCTTTTCTACAAGCATTTTGTATTTATTGTTAGGCCATTCTCAGCATTTATAAAACTCTCACATCTGTCATGTTAATTAATGTATCTTTATTTTGCCAGATGTTCCCCCTGATATGGTTCTGAAGCAGTTTGGAGAGTATTTCTTTGAATTTTGTAAGCAATCAGGCTATGACCATATGCTAAGAACTCTGGGTGGAAATCTCTATGAGTTCATAGAGAACTTGGATGCACTACACAGCTACCTGTCTCTTTCTTATCAGGCAAGTTTAAGTAAGAACCACTGAGCAGATGTGGATTACCCTGTCAGAGTTTACACACCAACACCATAACAAAATACTGTGCTCTAACCATCCCTCTGGTGCACCGAAATTAATTATACTGATGCATTACGGGGGAAAGAATCAGCCATTGCAAAGTTATCCTTAATATTAGATGTAAAGTTAATCAATTCTCTGATAAATCAAACGTAAACTTGTTCAGTGTTATAAAGTATAAGCATTTATTTTGATAAGATGTAAAATGTTTTATAGAGTTTGCTATTGCACTATTGTTCTTTTTGGGTATGTCTACACTACAAAGTTAGTTCGAACTAACTTTCATAGGCGCTACACTAGCGCTCCGTTAGTTTGAATTTAATTCAAACTAACGGAGCGCTTAGTTCGAACTAGGTAAACCTCATTCCACGAGGATTAAGCCTAGTTCGAACTTACTAGTTCGAATTAAGGGCTGTGTAGACCCTTAATTCGAACTAGTAAGTTCGAACTAGGCTTAATCCTCGTGGAATGAGGTTTACCTAGTTCGAACTAAGCGCTCCGTTAGTTTGAATTTAATTCAAACTAACGGAGCGCTTAGTTCGAACTAGGTAAACCTCATTCCACGAGGATTAAGCCTAGTTCGAACTTACTAGTTCGAATTAAGGGCTGTGTAGACCCTTAATTCGAACTAGTAAGTTCGAACTAGGCTTAATCCTCGTGGAATGAGGTTTACCTAGTTCGAACTAAGCGCTCCGTTAGTTTGAATTTAATTCAAACTAACGGAGCGCTTAGTTCGAACTAGGTAAACCTCATTCCACGAGGATTAAGCCTAGTTCGAACTTACTAGTTCGAATTAAGGGCTGTGTAGACCCTTAATTCGAACTAGTAAGTTCGAACTAGGCTTAATCCTCGTGGAATGAGGTTTACCTAGTTCGAACTAAGCGCTCCGTTAGTTTGAATTTAATTCAAACTAACGGAGCGCTTAGTTCGAACTAGGTAAACCTCATTCCACGAGGATTAAGCCTAGTTCGAACTTACTAGTTCGAATTAAGGGCTGTGTAGACCCTTAATTCGAACTAGTAAGTTCGAACTAGGCTTAATCCTCGTGGAATGAGGTTTACCTAGTTCGAACTAAGCGCTCCGTTAGTTTGAATTTAATTCAAACTAACGGAGCGCTTAGTTCGAACTAGGTAAACCTCATTCCACGAGGATTAAGCCTAGTTCGAACTTACTAGTTCGAATTAAGGGCTGTGTAGACCCTTAATTCGAACTAGTAAGTTCGAACTAGGCTTAATCCTCGTGGAATGAGGTTTACCTAGTTCGAACTAAGCGCTCCGTTAGTTTGAATTTAATTCAAACTAACGGAGCGCTTAGTTCGAACTAGGTAAACCTCATTCCACGAGGATTAAGCCTAGTTCGAACTTACTAGTTCGAATTAAGGGCTGTGTAGACCCTTAATTCGAACTAGTAAGTTCGAACTAGGCTTAATCCTCGTGGAATGAGGTTTACCTAGTTCGAACTAAGCGCTCCGTTAGTTTGAATTTAATTCAAACTAACGGAGCGCTTAGTTCGAACTAGGTAAACCTCATTCCACGAGGATTAAGCCTAGTTCGAACTTACTAGTTCGAATTAAGGGCTGTGTAGACCCTTAATTCGAACTAGTAAGTTCGAACTAGGCTTAATCCTCGTGGAATGAGGTTTACCTAGTTCGAACTAAGCGCTCCGTTAGTTTGAATTTAATTCAAACTAACGGAGCGCTTAGTTCGAACTAGGTAAACCTCATTCCACGAGGATTAAGCCTAGTTCGAACTTACTAGTTCGAATTAAGGGCTGTGTAGACCCTTAATTCGAACTAGTAAGTTCGAACTAGGCTTAATCCTCGTGGAATGAGGTTTACCTAGTTCGAACTAAGCGCTCCGTTAGTTTGAATTTAATTCAAACTAACGGAGCGCTAGTGTAGCGCCTATGAAAGTTAGTTCGAACTAACTTTGTAGTTTAGACATACCCTCTGATAGTTATATCTTCTATCATTATTATTTCAGGAGATGAATGCACCTTCTTTTAGGGTAGAAAAGAATGAAGATGGATCAATGCATTTGCATTACTACTCAGATAGAAGAGGACTGTGCCACATTGTTCCAGGTAATAATGCAATTGAGCTAGTACCTCATTACATTTATAGACTCATACATTTGCAGCTATTCTTTGCTTAATTTTCACAAGGTCTATGTATGAGAATTTACAGACCAACAAAATGTTGTTTGACATTTAAATATATTGCTATTATGGTTTAATTTTCAGATATGCTGAACATCTACAGCTTCTGTTAATTTTTTTATTGGGATTTGGGGATACTCAGCAACTCTGAAAAGCAGATAACTGAAATTTGTCCTGTCATAGCATTTCGTGTAAACAGAGTTCTTCAAGATGCAGGATCACTTTGGCTGCGTCTAGACTGGCATGATTTTGTGCAAATACTTTTAACGGAAAAACTTTCAGTTAAAAGTATTTGCGCAAGAGAGCGTCTATACTGGCATGTGCCTTTGCGCAAATCATCTGTGCCAGTGTAGACGCTCTCTTGCACAAGAAAGCTCCGATGGCCATTTTAGACGTCGGGCTTTCTTGCACAAGAAATTAACTTGGCTGTAAATACTTGCGCAAGAGGGCTTATCCCTGAGCAGGAGCGTCGGAGTATTTGCACAAAAACCACTGATTTTGTACAGTACAAAGTCAGTGTTCTTGCGCAAATACTCGGGGCCAGTGTAGACAGGCGGCAAGATTTTACGCAAAAGCAACTGCTTTTGCACAAAATCTTGCCAGTCTAGACGCAGCCACAGATTTTTATGGTGGAAGAAGTTGAAACTGCTGATGTGCATTAGAGAGTCTGCTTGTGGGCTAGTTCTCAATACTTCTTATCACTAAAATCATTAAAACGGCCTAAAAAGGATATTTAATCTGAGGAGAAATTTTAAAAATACAACATGGAGACATTCTGCAATGATTATGAAGGCAAAACTAGCTTTGGACTCAAGCACTAGGGCATCTATTAGCATTTGTAAGAACTCGTATCTTCACTGAGAAACCCATCTTTATGATCATTGAAATACTCACTATATTTCACAATTATATTTGTGCTCTGATAAAATAGATCCCCATTCTTAGCCTCAGATGATTAAATGGAGCCCCTTCACAGGAGCTTATAATCTCAAATGGGAATCAAAGCTTCTCCCTTTGAAAGTACCCATTTCCTTTTTATATTTCAGAATGCATAGCGATTTGAGACTTCACAGGTCCCTAGAAATACAGAGTGGGTTTTCAGATCATTGTCACTGTATAATACTAGACTCAACTACCACATATTACTAAGTACAAATGGAAGCAATAATAAAGTATGTTGATGCAATTTCTTGTTTCAAGAGAGAAAATTCCCCTTGACTATATAATCAAGGTCATACTGTGGAAAATGTTATTCAGAAATAAAAAGAAAGATAATCATAGCAAAAGTATATAATTTGCCTAAATATAGATATTAGAAAATAGCTGCAGTATGCTTTATAAAGGAAAACATTTTGAGAATAGCCTGTACAGGCAAGTAAAGGGGATGGGGGCGAGGTAAAGCCTCAAACCACCTCACAAGCCAGCAACACAGGACTTGTCTGGATTTTGAATGTAGGCATGGAGCAGACGGTGGATGGGGGACTAGGGCTTTTTGGCCCAATACTGCTTTTTTGGACTCATGTGAATGAGTGGCAGGCAATTATGGTAAGAGGATTAGGAGAATAAGCCCTCCATGGCCCAGCAGGCAGAATGCAGTGTCTGATGAAGAGTCAAAGAAGCAAAAGATACAAACGAGCCCTCTTCTCTATTCACTCCCATCAAATGGGAGCTCCAGAAAGATGCCAAATCTGGGGGTATCTGAGATTCACCATTCCTTCTGATGCAGGGACAAACCACCTTTTACTCATGGCTCATTCTAAAGTTTAATTTCAGTCCTTAGATAATTTTTCGCATTCTGCACTCTCTTCATTAACTTCGTTTGCTATGTGGATAGTTAAATACATTTCTCAACACCCCAAGCTGTATGTTGCATCAAAACTGGTGTAAATCACCCTCACACTGTATAGAATTAGTGGGACTAGACTGAATTACCCCAGCTAAGGATCTGATCCAAAATGTACACATAGATGTAATTAGTGTTATTGATTCTTCATATGTCTTGCACTTCTGATATTTTATAAGTAAACGCTCATCACCATGGAAGTCAGCTGTAAATGCTTGAATTGGCACACAACATTGCTCAAATACTAGTTACAATGGAATATTTTAGTTCACTACAGAAGTCTGTCTTTTATTCCCTTTCAGGAATCATTGGCGCAGCAGCCCTGGATTTTTTCAACACTGAAATTTCAATGGAAATAGTCAATCAAACAGAGGAGGAAGAACGAACTGGGAAAAAAGAACATATAGTTTTCCTTGTCACTCAAAAGCCTGTATTTTCATACAAAAAAAGGAATAAATTCTCTTCTTCACCACAATACCTTGCTGATTCTGGAAGGCAAACTGAGAAACAACTGAATAAAGAGGTATTTTGAAGTTTCTCCTATGAATAAATGTCAGGGAAATAAATAGCTTTCATTAGTAAATACCATAATGGGGATTTTTTTTACCCAAAATGCTTTAAGGCTATGTCTAGACTGACAAGTTTTTCCGCAAAAGTGGCTGCTTTTGCGGAAAAACTTGCCAGCTGGCTGCACTGGCCGCTTGAATTTCCGCAAGAACACTGACTTCCTACTGTCTGAAATTAGTGCTTCTTGCGGAAATACTATGCTGCTCCCGTTTAGGCAAAAGTCCTTTTGTGCAAAAGATTTTGCGCAAAAGGGCCAATATAGACAGCTCAGATTTGTTTTGCGCAAAAAAAGCCCCGATCACGAAAATGGCGATCGGGGCTTTTTTGCGGAAAAGCGCGTCTAGATTGGCACGGATGCTTTTCTGCAAAAAGTGCTTTTGCGGAAAAGCGTCCTGCCAATCTAGACACTCTTTTCTGCAAATGCTTTTAACGGAAAACTTTTCTGTTAAAAGCATTTGCGGAAAATCATGCCAGTCTAGACGTAGCCTAAGTGAATCAGCTGTCCCAATTTAAGGCTCCCATCCTGCAAGTTACTTCATGCAAACAGATCCCATAAACACTACGGAATAATCTGCAGCATTGGGTCCTGCAAGTCCTTTCTCCAATTTACTGAATAATTTCAATTCCAAATAAAGTCTATAGGAAATCAAATATTTCAATGTGGATTGAGGATGGCTAGTTACTGCAGCATTTCTAATTGCTCCCACAGTCCTCTAGGAACAAACTTAGGAAGGTTGACATGATTTATTTGCAGTTATTTGTTTTGAATGATCAGACTGGGCTTATTCCACAGGATATTGAAAAAAAAATAAAGAAGATTAGAGACAGAACAAGTGTTTGTCCTGTCAAGAAAAATCATTGGGAAACAATCAGAGGAATTGTTACACTAGGAAGAGGTAAGAGGAAAATGATTCAAAGGGATTCGGACATAATTTATTAATACTGTCCATTTAGTAATTTATAAGCCATACATAACTTCACATCCATTGACAACTCACCATTCATATTTTCCCTGTATCCTCTTGATGGCATATTGTAATCCACTAAAGCTGTAGGTAAAGAAACATGCTTACTAATGGCTCATACGGTATGTGTCTCTCATGTCATATGGATCTCATGTATCTGTAAAAATAGCATTGTGGAGTTCCATGTTTATTGATTCTCAATGATATGCAGATCAAGTCGTCTCAGTTCGCAAATAATGAAATACAGGTTGGACTTTCCTGGTCCTACATGCTCCGAACCTAAGAGGTCCCAAACCAGGGAGTTTGCTGGGCAAAGGGAGGTCAAAGCTTCCTAGCCATGGCCAGGCCCCAGCCCTGGGCATGTTCCCCAGTCAATGGGGCTCTTTGGTCCTGCTGGACCATGGATGTTGCCAAACCAGAGAGGTCTGGATTTTAGAAGTTCAACCTGTAATTTAAAAAAGGTTTTTCTAGCTGCTAGCCTTGCAAATACGGCCAAGATCTGGTTTAAAAACTGTGTTATTTCCTTTTCAATCAACAACTGTAATCGATGCTATGGGCCAAATTATACCTTCTGTTCGCCTTATACTTGCACAACTGCAACTGATAATTATACCGTCTGTTAGCTTTATACTTGCAAAGGTGTATCCAATAATGCCCAAGATGACACCGAAGTATCTATAGGTATCAGTAGGTTTTTTCAAGGGTAGCTGATTGAATTCTGTTGGTGATCGATAAGGGTTATAAGCCAGTTCACTTTGCCATAGCTGTTTTGGTTCAATAATGTTAATAGGAGTGAAAAATTTATTTCTGAATCTAGCATCAATCTACAGGACTCTGAATATACAAAATGAGCAAATCTACAAACTAAAACAATTTCCATTTATTTGTGATCACTTTTTGAAGTAGAACCGCATTTAAAAAAAATCAAAGAAACAGATTCTTTGTGTTAACTTGTAATGGTTCATCAATTGTTTAAATTACCAAGAGTCTGATTCTCAAAGATGCTGAGCTCCCATTGACTTCAGCTGGAGCTGCAGAATCTCAGCTCTACTGAAAGCTAGGCCTTTAATTCTTAATCTAGCCTTCTTCCCCCCAAAGTTACCTGAGAACTTGCTACCTTTGCTTCTCTGTTGCTAATGACAGATGTTTGAAAAGAGATCACTTGAAATAATCATCAGTCTGATTGTTAACGGGTTACTGGAGAATGCTGAGCTATAAACCATGCAGGCATAATCATGCATTTCCCTATTTCCAGAAACTCTTTATTGTTATATAAATGAAATAGTCTAAAAAGCCAAATGGCACATGGACTGCAATTAAATACCTCTTGCTGAGGGGCTGTCTAGTTGCAGCAGAGATGTAAATTTATGTAGAAAATAGATGAGTAGCTGCAGCCCCATTCCAAACATTTACACCATAATTAAACAGCCCCTCAGCCAGAGTCAGCCAACATGGGCTAGGTACAGGTGTTCACAGTGCAGACATACCCTAAGTGACTGAGATATCTAAGACCAATTACAAATCAACAGTATTTGGGCACATGTGTCAATTAGGCACTTTTAATCTACATGCTTCGTGCTCAGCATGTAACATGAAAACGTTACCTTTCCCATTGCAAGCTTTTACCTCCCCACAGACACAGTGACTGCTTTAAGAAAAAGCTCAAGGAATATTTCAGAGACACTCCCTTTGATCTCCATTCCCTGGACCAGATTTCTTCATATAAGGGACAGCAGACTGTGTCCCTATCCCTTTCCACTATGGGGCTTTGTCTACACTGCAGGGTTTTTGTGCAAGAAGTTTTTTCTCGAAGAGATCTTCTGCAAAAACTTCTAGCACAAAAGCACATCTAGACCTCAAAATCACATCGCAAAAGCGATGTGCTTTTGTGCAAGGGAGCATCCACACTGCATGGACACTCTTGCACAAGAAAGCTCGGATGGCCATTAATAGAATGGCCATCAGAGCACCTGTGCTTTTTCTGATAGGCTCTTTTTGCGCAAGAAACCACTGCAGAGCATCCACACGTGCCTTTTTGCACAAGAGCTGTAGCACAAAAAGGAGTTATTCCTTGCGGGGAGAGGAATAACTCTACTGGCAAAAACCCTCTGTCCTGTCAATTTACTGTATTTTTTTTTTGCGCAAAAATACACTTGAGGTGTGGACGCTCTGCTGGTTTTTGCACAAAAACAGCCAGTTTTGCACAAAAACCTTGGAGTGTAGACATAGCCTGAGTGTCCATAAGCAGTTGGCAGGCTATATTGAACACCTTTGTTTTATACCCTTTGGTGTGAATATTGCAGTGACAATTGCTATAGTATCTGAAATATTCACAGGACTCTATTGCTATCTATTTTTTTCATAATTTCACACATAGAAAGATTAATATTTTTCTAGGTTTAAAGAGCTAATTTTTTTCACGCAGATAAATATAAAGCAGCTCACCCATTTCCATTTTATGTACAGCACAGCACACCAAGAACTTGCACATTTCTATAGTCACACATTATTTATATTAAAAACAAGGAGTCTGGAGGCATTTTAAAGACTAAAATTTATAAGGGTATTAGAACATAAGCTTTTGTGAACTACAACTCACTTCTTCAGATGCTGTTTCTCTTCGGCATCTGAGGAAGTGAGTTGTAGCTCACGAGAGCTTATTCTCTAATATCTTAATAAATTTGTTAAAGTGCCACCAGATTCCTTGTTTTTGCTGAAACAGACTAACATGTCTCTCATTATTTATAGTGGTTTTCCTTATTATTTCACATCTGTCTGCTGATTATTTTTATGAGCTACAATAGGATTGAAAGCTTCAGATTTATCTTACTGCAGGTAAACTTCTGAGACGATTTAATCCAGTATATCCTACAACCCTCTGGATAGATACAAAAACATTTTGCAATGGGCTTCCTTTCCATATTGTTTTTGATGAAGAGGTAAGGCAAGCACCTGGTAAGTAAGTTTTACACACACACACACACACACACACACACACACACACACGCAAGCCACATAGGCTCAGCTTCACAAAGGGACTTCAGCATTGCAATGCTGAGCAACGAGACAGGTGTCCCCCAAGCCCCCTTCCACTCAGCGATAGATGCCCAGTTGTGCTAGTAATCCATGAATTGTGGTAAAATGGATTTTCCTCCATCTAACTGATATTGTGATCTGAACCAGTAGATGTGCTCAGAGGCCATCTAGCTCCGTGCAAAATAGCCAGGGAGTGGAAGGAAGAGGACAAATTCCTTAGAACAGTCCAATGCTACCTGGTACTCTAACCGTTAGGTTATGGAGTGATTTTTCTCTGACCCAGCTAATATTTAACTGAAGTAGAACAATAACTTCAGGAGGAGAAATTAAAGGAGCCCTGCATCAGATTTTCCCACAGCCCACTCAGCTGAAAGGTGGCCGATAGCTGATTGAATCTCTTCTCATCAAACAGGGGAATGGAACTTGAAGTGGGGTCTCCTACATTGCAAGGGAGTTCCCTGAGATTTCTGAGCTAGCAAGGTGCATCACTCTCAGTCATCAAACACTCATTGTTTCCTGTATTTTCCAATGCCTGGATCTTTTCCCACCTTTTGGACTCCTTAGGAAAGTGACACCCTTGCACTTGCATCTAGCTTCCCTTCCCTTACCCCATCCCCTGCTCACCCAGTGACTTCTGTGGAACCTGGCTGATCATTGAGATTCTTCAGGCAGTGAAAAAGCACCTCTTCTAGGAAATCCCAGCACCACACTGTCCTCCAGGAGGAGGAACCCAGCTTCTTTTCATGTCTAATGACAGAGCTCTGACTAATTTCTTTTTCACAAACATATTGCCACGGGGGACTGGTAGCAGCAGCTTCTCCCACCACCATAGTTGCAGCAAGTATTTGCTGTGGGAACTCTCCCAAATTTGTAGTTTTCCTTTATCTTATCCCCTAGCAGGCTCCTCAGCTTCCTACTCCCATGCTCTGCAGAGGATGTTGGCTTCACATAGGAGACAAGAGAGAAAGTGGGTGGGTGGAGTAAGCAAATCAAATACATTGGCTACTTCTGGAAAGTGTTCCTACAGCTGGGTTAGATACAGAGGTTTCCAAATGTTGATAGACCTCACTTCAGAATGTGGTAAACGAAAATCAGAGGCTTTAAGCCTTTCCGTGTATCTGATAAACACCACCACAACCAAATTCGATAGACCTCACTTCAGAATGTGGTAAATGAAAATCAGAGGCTTTAAGCCTTTCTATGTATCTGATAAACAAATATTTGTGCAGAATAAAGTCTTGCTCTCATAATTTGCGCAGGTCCTCAGATGGGGAACAATTAACATGGTGAATTGCTTGCTGAGGAGAAAGTTTCAGGCTCTGCCAAAACTAGGGTCATATTTTGTCAACAGTTTCAAAGACAGCTCTTAAACACTGATACAAGATATGACCTGAAGAAAGTAACCATAAGCCAGTAGTGTTCATTGCAAAGTTAGTATTTGCCAACATATTTGCCAATACAGCAGTTATTTTCTATTCTGGGTGTACGTTCATTGCAAAGTTAGTATTTGCCAACATATTTGCCAATACAGTTATTTTCTATTCTGGGTGTAGGGCAATACTGTGATATCTCTCAGATCTCCCTTGTGCCACTGGCTGGCCAAAGCTGACTTGTTAATCTGTTTTTGTAATGACAGTATTTAATGATAAAGAGTGGCATATCTTTTTAAAAGGTTCTAAAAACATCCATCCCAAATGCTGACTATCCTTTATACAATGTAAGATTATAACAATGATTTTGAAAACCACAGAAACATCATAAATCTGCTGCAATTACTGGAGCCACCACCATGTGAAACCATGGCCCATGTGAGGAACAGAAAAGAGATCACAGCATGGCAGATTGTCGAAACAAACAATCTCTTTAATTTTAGAATTAATTTTTCTCCAAAGTCACCATGACATTGCTATATACGCAAGGGAACAAGGAATTGTGGGGAGATGAGGAAGAAGCTTAATAAGTCTTGTACAAAAACATGACTTGTATAGCATTATGCAACTGAAATGAACACTACTCTGTGATTTGTAATTACTAAATATTGATGTTCTACGGCATATTATTGATGGAAAATTGACTTGATTCTCCTCTTATTCACTGGTTGTAAGCTGCACTGCGATTGGTTGAGTTGCACAGGACTTACACTGGTGTAAGCAAGACAAAGATCAGACTCATTACTTGTATATAATTGATATTTCAGTGAAGATTAATGTTTGGAATCTTAGCAAAATGTATCAAGAACACTTGTATGATTAAAAAACTATTTCCCAGTTGCAAGCTAACATTCTATGTTATGTTATTCTATAAGACAGAAGCCATGCAGAGAAATGAGCTGTGTATTTCAGTCAAGAGATGATTGACTGGTTCTGTGTGAAGCCAAGTCCATTTGCAAATAGTGATCGTGTATTGCAAGTGGGGGTTCAAATGATTAGTAGCTGAACTCAAAGAGGATGTGAAATGTAACCTGCGGCCCGTGTTGTTTTTAAGCTCAGAGTAAAGCAAGCTGGGGTGAGCATTCAAAAGATTGTCCCTGGCCTGCAGACCATGGGCATTCGCCTGGATGATTACTTCAGTATCGTGCACCCAGAAGTGACATTCACCATCTCTAGTGTTCAGAAGTTTATCAACAGTCAATTTGTTTTCCGGACTAGGAGAGAGATGATGCCAGAGTCATGGAAACAACGTCCAATGCTAGAGCTGAGAGGTACTCATTTTTTTTGAATGAACAAGATGGCTCTTACTAAATCAAGAATAAGGAAAGGGTTGAATTAGCTGATTTCTCCTCCCTCCCTGCATTAGAGAAATAAATGGTCAGCTGTTTGTATGGAAAAGGAAAGAAGAGTGATGCTTTATTACACTCATGCACAAATCCTGCCCCTCCCTCTGCAAGTGTTCAGGGTCCTCTGGTGAAAACCAGTGAGATTCCATTTGTGGAAGGCTGAGGTATTGGGAGGTGCATAGAAGTGTTCACCCCAAAGTCATGGAACTACTTTTTTATGGGCTTCTTAATTCATTGGGGAAAGCCAGATAACAAGTGGGGGTAGAATGACAAGGTAGCTCCCTATGCAAAACCTCTGGTTCTTCTTTGTTGTGTATGCAGTAGGATGATAAAATATACACTATTTTAGCCATTAAGTTGAGCTGTCTGCAGAATAGTTCTACTGCCACTCCATAGCCCAGTTGATATGTCCTGGTGGATATCCCCAGCCTTCAGCCAACACCATCCACTTCATTGGTAGTTTGGGGTGTGCAAGACAAAGCTCAGAAAGCTAACCTCTGCTCTCAGCACCAACTGCAGGGGAGCTGAAACAATTTGTGTAGCGGGGGCTTAGGTGCTAATTCCATGGGTGCTCTAGGTCTCCAACATACATAAGGAAAAATTAGTGGGTGCTTAGCAGCCACCTCCCCTCTCCCCCAGTGACTCCTGCCTGCTGGCAGCCCCACAGATCAACATCTTCCCTTCACTCCCAGTGCCTCCTGCTGTTCTGTGTCCAGGTCCCTTTGGAGAGAAGGGGAGGAGCAGCCAGGGGACACTTGGGGTTGGCTGTTAAAGTCCTCACTTTCTTTTCCAATTGTTCTAAACAGGCCAGATGATGTGGATGGAGTCTCTGCAGTGCATGCTGTATCTCTGCTCACCTTTACTGCGCACTTTGCATGAGCTGGAAGAGAGACAGATGCACATTGCAGACATAGCACCTCATGACGTTACCAGGGATTTGATTCTTCTCAACCAGCAAAGGCTGGCTGAGATGGAGCTCTCCAGCCAGCTGGAGAGGAAGAAAGAAGAACTGCGGATACTCTCAAAGCACCTGGAGGAAGAGAAGAAAAAGACAGAAGCTCTGCTCTATGCCATGCTTCCAAAGCATGTGGCCAACCAGCTAAAAGAGGGAAAACGAGTTGAGGCAGGTGAATAAATACGATACATGTATTTTTAAAAAGCAGCTCTGTCTTTAATACTAGATTTGGGAACTGTGCTGTTAACCAGATCTGGCTCCAAAGATGTGCAAACTGTGTAGCCTCAATGATACCCCCTTTCTGGTGGCTACCCAGTCAGCAAGTACAATAGTAATCTAGCTAGAAGATAGGAGGTGTCAGTGTGACTGGAAAGATATAGGAAACAAAGGAGGAACTGGAACAAATCAGCCATACCTATAAAATGCTGCTGTTCTTCTAAAAATGTGTAAGCCCAGCCCTGGCCTGATTTTAGGAAAGCATTTTTATTCTTATTTAGGACAGTATTTAAGCATATGTTTAAATTCCATTGAAGAAAGTGGGACTTAAGCATAAACTTAAAGTTAAGCATGTGCTTAAGAGCTGCGTGGAGTAGGGATAGACTAAAGAACATGTTTAAGTCAGGCAAATACTGGTCTGTCAGGATTAGCCCCTCATGCCAGTTTGCTGTAGGTTGCCGTTCCTGGTCAATGGGAGCTGTGGGAAGCACTGCTTTCTGCAGCTTCCATTTGCTGGGAATGGTGATCTGCAGCCAATGGGAGCAGCAATCACTGGTACCTGTGGAAGCACAGATAAATATAATGGTGGCAGCCTGCCAGGGGCTCACCCTGGCAAACTATTGCTGTTTTTTTGCCCACCCCGTCTCAAGTGCTTGATACATTATTACATCATTTCCTTCCTTACCAATAAAGATCTTAAATGATTTTTCTCACCAAGTATTTACAAAATAAGATAAGTAATCTCAGCAAACAAGTCTCATGTATGCATCACATCAACAGCAACTGATCTGTCCCTCCCATCAGAATTATTTAGAAATGACAGGAGTACTCACACTGACCTTTCTGTTCACAGGGGAGTTTAAAGAATGCACCATATTGTTCAGTGATGTTGTGACCTTTACCAACATTTGTGCCCAGTGTGAGCCTATTCAGATAGTCCTCATGTTAAATTCAATGTATCTGCGGTTTGACAGACTAACAACTGTGCATGATGTCTACAAGGTAATTGCTTATTTATTTTCAAAGGCTGTGGCTGTTTTCATGCAACTGGTTTTTGTGAATTGCAAAGGGTTGCAATAAAGCATGAGATATTGGAGTTGATAGCGACTTTGATGGGGGTCAGGAAACTAACAATTTAGCCTTAAATTCCTTTAATGACTGTTCCTGTGTTTAATTAAATAATTATACATAATTTTTTCAGAGTTCTGTACAGAAAACTAGCTAGCATGCAGTGATTGTAATTAAATGTGCTAAAAAGATTCAAATATGAGTGTAACCAGGCCTGTCTAATTTCCTTGATATCATTTAGCTAATTTCAAACCCAGCATTCCCCTTTTGGAGCTATTCAGAGTGGCAGATTTTAATCTGGCTTGTCGGTGACCTGGTTATCCAGGAGATACTCATTCCTTATTTTTCCATCACTAGGGTCAGAACAGTTGATCTCTTTTTACCCCAGAAAAGCCTACCTATAAAGCCAATGTGATTCTTATTATATCACTTTCTGATTCCTGACTGAAATGATAAAGTTAGTTAGATTGCCCATTTTGGATAGCTCAGATCATTCACCTTATGCCCCACTTGGCTTGGATCATAGTTCTGGAAATTCAGAAAGAAAACCAAAATGCAAGGGATGTGGCTTAATTAGGTCACAATTTAACACTTAACTCCTCTGGGAACTTACTGACTGTAACTCATATGCAGTGCAGGGCATGATTACTTCCTTAATTGGTTCCACCTGATGGAGGGCTGCCGCCAGCTCCTCCTTATCCATCTAGTCCTAGCCTGTTGCAGGACTCCACTGCATGTCCCTCTAATGAGGATAAAAGGGTTGGGAAAAGGGGGGCGGTCATCTCTGCTGTATCAGGCATTAGGAGCCTCACGACTGTTTCTCAACTTCTTTAAGGAATGTCTTCCCCTCAGTCTACTGCTAACTCTGTTTTCTCAGGGAACCAGACCCATAAGGAATCAAATCTCTGCATTGAGTATTTGCCATTGCTTGAGTTGTGACCACCCAAACCTTACAACCTGACCTATCCCACTAGGTCCCTGAGCTGCTGTGGGAAGGGCAAAAAGCTCATCCTACTTCAGCCAATCTCTTGGTGAGGTAAAAATTTCCACCACCCCCCTCAAGACAACTGATGAAATGCTCACAACTCCCTCTTGGTGAGGTAAAAATTTCCACCACTCCCCTCCAGACAACTGATGAAATGCTCATAAATGCCCAAAGAATTCAGTTGTACACTAATCCCAATGGAGGCTGCTGACTGGGCACAGGCTGGCAGGCAGGGTTTTTATACTCTCCCTCAGCTGCACAGGGGCCAGTGGCTTGGCTCAGCTCCACTAACTTGCCCACCCCGAGTCACTATCAGTCCAGACAAAGCTGTCTCTATGGCTGGGGTAGTGGAGAGCCTGCAGTGTCTTTTTAAGTATTCTCTTTCTCTGATAGACATACTATCAGCTAGTCCCAATTAATGTCTTAGGGTGTGTCTAGACTACAGGTTTTTTGTTTTTCTTAAAGTGGCCTTTTTTCGAAAAAACTTCCCCTGGCTGGGTCTAGACTGGCCAGTTTTTCTGGAAAATCAGCCGCTTTTCTGGGAAAAACTTGCCAGCTGTCTACACCGGCCACCCTCAAATAGCCCACGTAAAGTCACTGGAGCTCTGTATGGGTGGCAGGATCTGTCAATGCAAATTCAGTTACAAGATCAGCGCGTTATTCTGTTCCACTCCCTTCACGCAGTTAGCACCAGCTGTCTGTACATCCTGTCACATGTCATCTTCAGTGTTTGTAAGAGTCTTCAGTATCTCATAACGTCCAGGACATCTTTCATCTCTGTACCTCATCAACCATTCCTGTTCTCATTCAGAGTGTGTCTAGATTACAGAGATTTTCGAAAAGTGGCCTTTTTTCGAAAAAACTTCCCTCTGCGTCTAGACTGCTGCCGCGTTTTTGAAAAGTAAATTGAAAGAACATGGCAGTTTTTTTGACTGTGGAAAACTTTGTTTTACGAGGAAGAACGCCTCTTTTCGAAAGTGCTCTTTCGAAAAAAGGCACTATGTAATGCAAACTGTGCTTTTTTTGAAAGAGAGCATCCAAACTGCCTGAGTGCTCTCTTTCGAAAAAGCGGCTTGCTTTTTCGAAAGTACTGGTTGTAGTCTAGACACTGTTTTTCGAAAGCGGCTTTTTTGAAAGTATCTTTTGAAGAAGCCTCTTTTGAAAGAGGCTTGTAGTCTAGACATAGCCTTAGAGATGAAAATTTCATCAAAATGGAACACGAGTATTTTCTCCCGGGTCTTAGCTGGCTAATTGGCTTAGTTTCATGGACTCCTGAAGTCTGAACATCTGGTCTGAAATTAATATCTGTCCCCCTACAATTGTAAGTATCTGTGCATGCAGAGCCAACTCTTAAAGCCCTTACTCATTGCTTACTCAGGCAAATCTCCAAGTTAAATTCATGGGAACTTGAGGGAAGAGCAGGTTACAGTTTCAAGGTTCCCAAGTGGGAATGAATTATTTAAACTGATCAAAGGCACTTACCTAGTTCCAGCTAGCAAATGTCTGAAGTTATGAATAAATCCAATTAAAGAAAATCTCTGGACACAGCATAAATATCTATTTGCATTAGTGACTCTGGCTGTTATTTTTTTAATTTACTATAGAAAATAATTACTGTCATTATCCTTAAGTGGACTCTATTGATGACAGCTATCTATAGCGACATAGTTTTCATGCGCCTAGCATACTATATTGTTTTAAATGGTTATGTTATTAGGTAGCTCATTAGAAATTTTGTGCTTGCTATTTTACTGGCGTTCAGAAAAAAAAGGGCAAGTAAATCCAGTTTAAGCTAATCACTCATGTAAAGATAATGAATGAAACACTAAAACCACCTCAGACTTGTTTAGAAAATTTATTCACAGCACAATGGCTTTGTACAATGAATTTAATACTTTGGGGATTTCTGTGGTTCAAACAAACCTCTTATATTCTTGGCAAGAGCTCTGCGGGCTCGTCTACACTGGCCCCTTTTCCGGAAGGGGCATGTTAATTTCACCTATCGTAGTAGGGAAATCCGCGGGGGATTTAAATATCCCCCGCGGCATTTAAATAAAAATGTCCGCCGCTTTTTTCCGGCTTTTAAAAAAGCCGGAAAAGAGCGTCTACACTGGCCCCGATCCTCCGGAAAAAGCGCCCTTTTCCGGAGGCTCTTATTCCTACTTTGAATAAGCGCTTTTTCCGGAGGATCGGGGCCAGTGTAGACGCTCTTTTCCGGCTTTTTTAAAAGCCGGAAAAAAGCGGCGGACATTTTTATTTAAATGCCGCGGGGGATATTTAAATCCCCCGCGGATTTCCCTACTACGATAGGTGAAATTAACATGCCCCTTCCGGAAAAGGGGCCAGTGTAGACGTAGCCTGCATGTTTCCAGGGCCAAAACCCAAATTACTTTCTTAGGTACAACATCGATTCACAGCAGGAAGAGCTATGCCTGTAAGGAATGTAGACTTTGCCCATTACAGAGAACATGGGGAAATCCATTGGCTGCAGGAAGACAATCTGATCCTTTTGTAAGGAAGATTATGACAGACCAGCACCACACTGCATGCTTCATGCTGCTATTTAATGTATTCCTAACATTTGGATAGTTTACCTCAGCTATCATTTGAGTAGATTAATAGTAATTGTCACTGAAGAATAGTCCCTCATTTATGTTTTCCCCCCAAAATATCCTTTTAAGCCCCCCAATTTATGAATTAGCCAACCATCTGTAAATCCATTAAACTACCAGCTGCCTCATGTGTAAGGGAGTGTTCCTACCCTGTGTGGAAGGGGAATGCTTTTATAGCACCGTTCTTCCACTGCCTCAGGCCTTGCAAAGATCCTTCTGTAGAACCAAATTTGATGGGCAGGAACTCTCTGCTTGTAGAGCAAAGGGACACGTACCCAATAGCATTTTCATAGAAATCAGGGAAGCCAAAGGCTGGAAGGTTTCCTCCACTGGCACCTCTCAGTGGTTGAGAACAACTTTTGAAAGGGAAAATGGGGCAGCTGCAGGTAAAGTGAGAACCTGTCCCTGAAAAAAATTGCAGAATTAGATGTGTTTAGAATACTCAGCTCTATTTCCCTGCATATTAAAGGTGGAAACAATAGGTGATGCTTACATGGTGGTAGGAGGTGTCCCTGTGCCTGTATCGACTCATGCTGAGAGAGTTGCCAACTTTGCCCTTGGAATAATCCTCGCAGCCAAAGAAGTGAAGAATCCGGTTTCTGGAAATCCTATCCAAGTGAGTCAATACCACAGAGATATCCACATGCTGTTTGGGTGAAAGAGTTGTTGTGTGGTAAATGTGCTGGTCTGGGACTTCCTCTGTGCTCTTGGGCAAGTCCCCTACAGCTGTATTTTGATAAATTGCCTGATTTTTCAGCGACACGCCCCGCTGCATTAGCATTAATGGAGAAGTGGATGGTAAATGTTTTAAATGTACTTTAAAGAGGTGATCTTCTGGGTTCTTTGTGTCTTTGTAAAGATTAGAGTTGGGATCCACACAGGTCCTGTCCTGGCTGGAGTTGTTGGAGAAAAGATGCCTCGTTATTGCTTGTTTGGAGACACAGTGAATATAGCTTCCCGGATGGAAAGTCATGGGGTTCCAAGTAAAATTCACCTTAGCCCAACTGTCTATTAGTGAGTAGCTGCAGTAATGCTCCTTTTTATAGCTTTGCTGGAAAAAGTTGCATTGAGTTTTACGCGTAAATATCACTGTTTTCCACAATGTACTTAATTTTAACAATAATATGTTCATGTAAAATAATGCTGAGGCAATTAGAATTGAGTGAACTTTACCATCCCTGTACTAAGACAGATTATTCCAATTCTAAATTTTAGAGTAAAATATTTCTTCCTGTCTGATGTGAATACATAATACATAATGGTGTGACTTAAAAGCTCATTAGATCATCTAGTCTGACCATCTGCATAAAATATTGGATAGAATTTCAATTTATCCCTATATGGAGGCTGATAACTTGTGATATAAAGGTTTTATTGGGCACAACTACATAAACCACTGTTTTTTCAACTATGAGGAATGTGGCCTTCTCAATGCCAATACAAACTTGACACCACACCTCTATATCAACAGTAAAACCAGAGCATTTGTTCACCCAAGCATCACATTATCAACCTCCTTTTTCCTAGTCTTTGTTCTCTTTTTAAAACAAAGAACTAAACTCTGTTCATCTAAGTTTGATACATAATGATAATTTCTGATGTGTAACCTAGTCTTTGTTCTCTTTTTAAAACAAATAAAGAACTAAACTCTGTCATCTAAGTTTGATGCATAATGATAATTTCTGATGTGTAATAGATGAAATTTGCCATCAGAATCACTTAAACTACATTAGTGCAAAAGAATAAAACCAACTCTTGCCATAGTCAATTTCGTATCACCCTATAAGCATTTGTTCACCCAAGCATCACATTATCAACCTCCTTTTTCCTAGTCTTTGTTCTCTTTTTAAAACAAATAAAGAACTAAACTCTGTCATCTAAGTTTGATGCATAATGATAATTTCTGATGTGTAATAGATGAAATTTGCCATCAGAATCACTTAAACTACATTAGCGCAAAAGAATAAAACCAACTCTTGCCATAATCAATTTCGTATCACCCTATATCTATTTCTTGTCATATAAATCTCTAATTGGCAGGTGAATCCCACTTCAATCACTAATGTATAATTTTACCATGGCTTCATGGACAATAAGAACCCTATATATCAAGTGAGAATTTGATTTTGTTAATAGACATCTATCAGGGATGATCTAGATGGTGCTTGGTCCTGCTGTGAGGGCAAGGGACTGGACTTGATGACCTCCTGAGGTCTCTTCCAGTTCTAGTAATCTATGATTCTGATCACCATGAGATCAAAGTTGATTAAATTCTGTGGGAAGACTCTCTGACTCAGTGGGCTTTGGATCAGGCACTTTGTGCATACTTACTTAAGCAAGCCAAACCTTGATCTAAATACAAAAACCAGCTGTAGAGCAAAATCTTCCTCTCAGTTAATTGTAGGGAATTTTGACTATTCTAACCTGCTTTCTCCCACCTGTTTTAGTTTAATTGCTGATATACACCATGCTATTCTGAGAGAAGAATGCTAAGAATCTGATAACTTTTGCTCTGTAAAAACCCCTTTTAATATAATTGTTGTTGTTGTTCTAGCTGCCTAAAGGGCAAAAGTTTTGAGATGACTGAAAGAGGAGAGATTGAAGTGAAGGGCAAAGGGAAAATGCATACCTATTTCTTGATTAGAAACAGGACTGCCACCGAGAATGAGATCATGGGAAACCCAACAAAGGAACCAGAGGCTGTCCATGAATCTGTTCAGTCCTTTCATGAGTCCAGGATCAAAACAATACGAAGTTCATGTCAGCAAGGTAGAGTTGGCCCAACAGGAAACCAATTCTTTTCACAATCTTTTAATTACAATTAAATAAAATATTCATTCTCCTCTTTCCTCAGCCATGCAGTTCAATTCAGAGCCAGACCAGCCTCCAACCATAGCAATGAAGTACATTGATGGTCCCATGGAAACGCAAGCCAGTCACAAAGGAAGAAGTCAAGAAAGAATTATGGACTTAACTGGTATTTTCTTTGTTACTGAATAGTCAACTAGTGGAGTTAGAAAGGCTTGATCCCACAAACTGATTGTATTACTCATGTGAACAGTCACTGCTTACGTACAAATGCATTCAGAGGTAACTGGTGAAGGGTGGCACAGAGGGCACCAGCCATGTGATTTCTAGGCCGGGGAAGAGCCAGGACAATGCTCCACTTCTCTAAGTCCAACCTCTCCTGTCCCCTCTTCTCCTGGGTGTTGCGGTAACAGGGATCCAGCCTCCCTGCACTCACCAGCAGCGGTGGGGGAAGTGGAGCAACATGGCCTCAGTTTACTTTTCTCCTTCAGCCAAGTCATTCTGCTTTCTGATGGAGAGTGCGGGGGCGGTTCTGCCCCTCTCCCAAGTGATGCAGCTGGGGGAGCAGAATGAGTTCCCCACCACTGCCAATTAGTGCAGGAGGCCAGATACTTTCTGCAGGTGCCAGGTGCCCCTGGCCTCCCCTGACCCCCAGGGACTCTTGTTCCACCAGCTGCTGGCCAGCCCTTTGCCCCTGCCATGCATGGCATTTGAAGGGCTGGATCCTCCTCTTGCCCTCCTGCCCCCACCCCATGTGTCATCCCTGGATGCATTATATCAGTGGGACTTCTCACATCAGTGGCTGCTGAAGGCTAACCATCCTACACCTTGTTTGGGGCTGAGCATATCCATCTTCATAGTGATCCCAGGCTTCAGCAATGGACTGGAGAGCAAGAAAATCACAGTGAGACTATTCGGACTACAATTATCGTTAACATTTTGAAAGTCCCAGTGAAGTTGCGTCTGGGATCTCACACCATGGTCAAAGCATATTATCGTTAACATTTTGAAAGTCCCAGGGATCTCACACCATGGTCAAAGCAGAGTAAAGTAGGAACGGGTATTCTCACTGCACCTAAGCCATAGAGAGGAAAGGGGTCTGTGAGGCTGCATGAGTGACCCGCATTAGAGGGAGGGCAGGGAGCTCTGATTCCCATCCCTAACCTCCTGTAACTTTATCTGTTGGTCCCACCTCCTCAGTCTCTATTGACTCAAGTACACTCGGGATTAATTCCATGAATTTGAGGGTCTTCTGCAACTCAGGTGTCCCACATCAACTGTGCATTCCCTAAGCTCTGAAAATGGATTTGTTTGTGCTTTTCTTGGTTATGAGTGGTAAGTTAATCGACTCTTATGCCTTAAGGCACTAGCCAATCACCTGTGATTAGGGAGGATTTAATCCCTCATGTACAGCATTACACAGTTGATCAGGTGCCTTACGGGGACGTTCATTTTCCAGTGAAATTACAGGTGCTAACCAATGCTGGAAGCAGAATATCAGATTTGATCCTACATACAGAGCAAAAATATGTTATGGCTCTTCAACTGACTTAAAAATGTGTATCTCCCTTTATCTCTGCTCCGCTCATGGGCAACCAGTTATACAACCACCATACAGCTGCCCATACTGATCTATCTTTGGTCATTAAGAACTCACACACAGAAAAAACATTTCTTTACAGGCAAAACACATGACTTTGAAAGCGCTGGCTGTCGCCATGGTGACCAGCAGCCAGCCAGTGATCCTTATCTGCACAATCAGGAAAGAATCAAGCCAGCAGCTGAAGAACCAGAGATCAGACATGTCAGATCCAATTTTTGCAATTTAGTTTAAGCTGCTGACTTTTAAAGTTAAACAGGGTAAGTACATTACCATCTACTGCATTTTGCTATCTGGGTGACGCTTTTATATGGAAAATAGCACATGGAGGGTGTAAAAATGTCAGTTCTTCAGGGCTGGCAAGAAATTAAAAAGTATGGAGGATCACACAGGTATCTTCTGATAATGGTATTTACATAATTTAATTCTAAGATAGAAGCATGAGAGGACACAAAATGCTTTGGTCATAGGGTACTCCTCAGCAAGTGCCATATTTCTCCTACTCTCCTTCCCCTTGTCCCAACTGGATTCATGTTCTTGGGTTCCCATCTAGTGATCAGAATACATGGGGGCAGGAAACGATGGATTCCTGTTACTAGCGGCTTTCCTGCTCTAATGAACATTCACAATAAAATAAAAATGCCCTGAAGTGACAATTGCCTTGTCTGACTCCAATAGACATGACTACTTGCCTAAACGGGGAGCAGAATTTGACCCACACCCTATCTTTGATACCAGTTTACTTATGCAGGGGGATCTCTCTCGTCCTGACAGCAGGGATGGACTCAGATTTAATAAGCTCAGTACTTCCATTTCAAAATAAATATGGCTTTTGCTTTTTAGTCTTTATGGGACACACATCAGTTTATAATTTTTTACACTTGTATTTGTGCTGCACTAAGGCCACCTTAAAATGAAGCACATTGCTCAATATAAAAGCACGTTGAGCTGAGTTCACTCCTGTACAGTGGGCCCAGCACAAGGTCTTTGCACCTCTGACATCCTCAAAATTGGGTTTAAGTGGGTTCCAATTTATTTTTGAGCAGCCTCCCTGCCTAAACAAAATTTAAAAAGATCTGGAGCCCAGCTTAGGGCATAACTTTGCTGCAGATAAGTAGTTCTTTAATTTCACTTACCTGATGCTGAAAATGAGATTCTGGATTGCTAGAGGATTTACCCCCATTGTAATGTATCCTCAGACCACATTTGATCAAAAATGGCAGAGTAAACAACAGGCTCAGTTGCCGAAAAGGATTTGTGACCTAGGATATACAAAAGACCCACGTAAACAAGATAGTGCATGGCAGAAATTGTTCTTTATTGCTCTGCAGCCATCCTAGCCATCCCAGTGTGTGTGTGTGGTTGGGAGTAGGAAGAGGACGAGGGGGTTGGCTTTGGACTCCACACTCAAAATTGTTTTAAGGCCTGCAGCTGTGAATTCTTGAACTAAGTAAGTGTGTGAATATGAATAAACTGTGTTGCACTTTGAGCGAGAATGCACAAAGTAGGATAACATCACTGCTGTTCTGACATGCTCTGGGGCATCAAATTTCCATCTCTGTATCCGTGTGCATCTGCAGTAAGTGTTCCAAGCTCCTTTAAATATCAAAGAGGAATGTGAGCCATCTGTAAGAAGTCTTCCATAGGCAGACTCCTCAGGTGGAAGTAATACTAATTTACTGGGTTAAACATTTCTGTTAAATCTAAAGTAATATGATTTGTCTGGCCACGTGCCCTGGAGCGTTAATGTTTATACAATCTGCCTGAGCACCATGGGACAGTCAGAATGGAACCCAATTTCATTACTGGTATGTTTTTAAGCAGGGGCCCCCTATTCTCTGAGCTCTAGGTATTGTTTTGGCGGTGGCTACATCTGTTCTAGATTACAGAACTGTCCAAGTTTTGTTATAGTAAAACTGGATATCAAGTTTTGAATACGTGGTGGCATGCTGTGAAATCTGCATTACAAGCTACATTCCCTTCCCCCGCGTTCACTCTGGGGAGCCCTATACTTTCTATGCTGACTGTGGACAACCTGTACTAGTATATATCTCTAAGGAGATGTGGTGCGGGGACTGATGCTTCCCCTCCCCCCCACAGAACCTTTCACTGACAATCAGAGGGAGTTGGGAGTTGGAATTGGTGGTGCCTCATTGGTGTAAGACATGGGTTCCCAAACTGGGGGTGTGGTGTGAGGCAACCCAATGTGCCCCTCCCTTAAGTCCTTAAGTTTTGTTTTTCAGTCATTTCCTTTTTTTCCTCCTCAACAAGTTTTGCTGCTATTGTGGGGGGGGAAGGGGTGGTGCGTGAGGGTTTCTCAAAAATCAAAACGGGGGCATGATGCCAAAAGGTTTGGGAACCACTGGTGTAAGAGGACAACCTGCAAGGAAAGCATTTATCTGTCCTGCAAGACAAGTAGATTTTATTAGCCCTTCTCAAAAAGGCCACATGGTGGAACAATATTCTTGTCAATTATCCCAATTTGCACAGGGCACCTGTAAGGTTTACTAACTGTTATGGGGGTCCTGAGCCCCTGAAATGACCTGCAATTTTCCATTCTGGCCACTAGCAATAAGAGATCCTAAGGCCAGGTCTACACTAGGGAACAATATTGAAATAAGGTATGCAACTCCAGCTATGTGAATAATGTAGCTGGAGTTGACATACCTTAGATTGAGTTACTGTGGCATGTTCACTGCGGGGATGGGGTGTGTGTGTGTGAAAACACTCCTGGTGACTCCCCTTATGCTTTTTGATCTGGTGGAGTACCTGAATTCATGAATGTGCAATCAGCAGTCAGTTTAATGGGTCTTTCCTAGAGCCGCTAAATCAACCCGGGGCATCAATCCCTGTAGAGCCAATCTCCTGGTAAGCATAGACAAGGCCTATCGTTGCAGCAGTCAGCAACTGCTTCTTTTGTTGTTTCTCAGTTATCTTCACAGCTCCTCTTGGTCTGAGTGCCTTACTGGAGAGGGAGGAGGATATAGTCTCCCCAAGTCCCATAACGTTGGGTCCATAGACA